CAGGCCATGGAGGCCCATAGGATTGTAAAACGTTGACGCTCCCACTTTTTCTAGACAGTTGGCTCACAGGTGGTCGTGAGGTTAGCCATCTGCACCAGAAACCCTTACCCCTAGGAAGATTTGTGGTACTCATGTCTGTTAAAGGCTGAGTTGACCCCAGGGTCATAATGCAACTGCAAGGATTAGCTCAAGTGAAAAATCTGATGACTTAATCAGGAATCCACCTGTGACCTTCTGATTTGTTGCATAGTGCCTTAACCAACTACACTACCATGTGTCCCACAAACCTAGATGACCAACACAGTTAATACGAAAGACTGCCAATGGATATTATCCTGGGCCAGTTCAATCTGCATCTCATCCTCACAGTTCGTTTTGTAAGATTTACCTTAATTTACTTTCCCATCTCTTCCACTGCCTTCCATTTGCAAAAGATTCCCCATGAAATTTCTGCATTCATTTCTCTCTCCCATCCTGACTGCATGACTTCTGAGGTTCACTAACCTAAAGATAGAGGGCAGCACATGTATTTCAATGTATATTAAATAGTGACAGACAGCCAACAAGATGTAAGTTCTCCAGCTTGGGGTTCAGTATAGAGCTAACAACCCTTCACCATATAATGCTGTGTCACGTAACACACAAATATTAGAAAAGTAAATAAATCTAAATTACACCAGTGTCCAGTTCCAATATGGTCTGCATCATCAGTCTGACCAAGTATAGAGGTCCTGTCTTTAGCAATAAACCAGTAGTAAAGTTCTGTTGTCAACTATAGATTTACAGCAGGGAGCCAGAATAGTGTAGTCGATATAGCAACTGGCAATGGGTTAGATGAGTGAGTGGTTGGAATTTGAGTCCTGATAGGGTCAGAAATTTTCTTTCCTCAAAGTCATCCAGAGCAGCTCTGGGGGCCCACCCAACCTCCCATCTAGTGGGTACCAGGGGTTCTTTCCCTGGGGGTAAAGCATACAGGGCGTGACGCTGACTACTCACCTCCAGCTGGCTCCAAGGTCAAAGAAATGTGGATCTGTACCTCCGCTCCCACATATGCCTTCATGGTGTAGTGCTTAATTTGTTACTTAAACTTTCCATAATGAAGGTTATGCTTATTATGGTAGTGACATGGATCATTAAGTGTAGTGACTATTGTAGTGTTGCGGGTGACATTAATTTTGCAAATGTAAAACCTGATGTAGACAGGGAATATGTGAAGTCTCTTCTCATCCTGAAATTGTC